TAAACCCAAGTGCCTTCATAAAAGACCCAGCCTCAGGCATTTTGTTACAGCAATGGGAAATGCACTAATACAATATTTAAATGCCCATGTACAGTATGCATTGTCTTTTAGATCACTGAACTCTGGAGTTAGGTGACCTGTTACTAGGAGGGGAATTGGGAAAATAGCGTTTGGGGACTCTATGCACTATTTCTGCAACATCTCTGTGGGGCTAGAATTATTTCAAAATAGAGCTGCTTTAGAAATAAAGAACAGCACTATGCAAACAAGGAAGCCAGCATAAAAGGTCTCCTACTCTTTGAGACCATTTATTTATATTCCAAGAAGGCAAAACTATGGTACACAAAACCAATCCCTAGTTTCTAGGGACAGGGATTGGGGGAGGGTTAAAAGGGACAGAGAAAGTTTCTCAGAACAAAGGAAAATCCTACATCTTTATAACATTTTTTTCATAGAAAATCATAGAACTGTAAGATAAAAAGTATTGTACTTAAAGCCGACTGCCACCAGTCCCTTTGGGTTTTCCTCTCTTGGAAGCTCCCCTCCACGCTGCCCTGGCTGGAGATCCTTGATTCTAATAAATACTTTTAAATCTAAAAAGGTAAAAAGGGTGAATCAGACAGCAAGTAGCATTTAAATAAACCTCACTTAAAGGTAAGAAGCAAGCAAGTCAACAAACTTCCAGTGTAATGTTTCTCTGGTTATCAAAAAGAACAAGGCTTGCGGCCCAGCAGACGGGGCCAACACCTGCCACACTGGCATCCCTTCCCCACGCTGGGTGCTGCTGCTCCACTGCTGATCCAGCATTCCCTGCTAATGCGCCTGGAGAAGCAGCGACAATGACCCAAGTACCTGCACTCCCGTGCCTCACACTGGAGACCCACATGGAGCTCCTGGCCTCGGCCTGGCCCAGCCCTGGCCTTTGCAGTCATTTAGAGAGTAAAACAGTGGATGGAAGATATATCTCTCTTCCTCTCCCTCCTTTATCTCCATAACACTGGCTTTCAAATAAAAAAAAAAAAACTTAAAAAAATAGACTACGCAAGAGCTTGGAATGCTGAAAAAAAGAAAAAAATAGTCCAGTGTGTTTGCAGACCAATCTCTAGAGAAAGACCCAAGGGTGCCTGGAGCCATTTCTGCAGGGGAAGGGTCAGCCAGGCACCAGGGAAGGGGCGGGGTGGAGGGCCCTCTGGGGAGCAGCAAGGGGCGCCCAACCACCACGAAAACCACGCCAGGGCTTCACTTGAAGAAGCTGGGGCAAAGGGCTTGGTGTGATCTCCACCCACCAGGGGCATGCCAACCTTTCAACAATCTTCAATTTATTTCAATAAAAAACCACAGGCAGGGACAACCAAGATGTCATTATAGTTTATGTTTGCTTTACTGTTTAATTATGGAAAAATTAAACATATACAAAAATAAACAATATAGGGAGCCAGCGCTTTGACACAGCAGGTTATTAAGCCCACCGTCTGCGGCACCTGCATCCCATATGGGCGCTGGTTCCATTTCCATCTGCTCCACTTCCGATCCAGCTCCGTGCTAATGCACCTGGGAAAGCAGCAGAGGCTGGCCCAGGTCCTTGGGCCCCTGCACCCACAGGGGAGACAAAGATGAAGCTTCAGGCTCCTGATTTCAGCCTGGCCCAGCTCTGGCTGTTGCGGCCATTTGGGGAGTGAACCAACGGATGGAAGACCTCTCTCTCTCTTTGCCCCTGCCTCTCCCTTTCTGTAACTCTGCCTTTCAAACAAACAAATAAATCTTTAAAAAAAGATACAATAACCCTTCATTCCCATCACCCAGCTTTAACAATTATAAAGAGAAAGTAGTTGGAGTCTTAAAAAAATATTCTAATATATGATCATTGCTAAATCTTGCACACCTTGATAAGCACTATGAAATTAAAGCCCCTGATACTGCCTAACTTTGATTGGAAAGCTTCTCACTGCTACCTGAAGCTGTCCACGCTATCAATTTGAGCTTTACAACTTCAGTTGTTTTTCTCAAAGATGATTATGTTTGTCGCTTTCTAGTATTTGGTTCTGGGGACTTCAAAATGATTCCGACTTTTGATTTGATCCACATTAAAGCTGCAGGATACAAAATCAACTTAGAAAAATCAGTAATGTCTCCATACACTGACAACAAACTATCTGAAAAAGAAATAAAGAAAACAATTCCCCAAAAAGTAAATACCTGGATACAAATTGAACCAAAGAAGCAAAACACTTGTATACTGAAAACTATAAAATACTGATCAAAGAAATCATTCATTGATTAAAATAATATTGTGAAAATGTCCGTGTTACCCAAAGCAATCTAGAGATTCAGAGTCTGTTTTTATCAGAATCCCATTTTTTACAGAAATATAAAAAACATTCCTAAAATTCATATGTAATCACAAACAACCGTGAACAGGCAAAGCAATCTTGAGCAAAGGGAACAAACCTGGACTCATTACACTCCTTGACTGCAAAAAATACTATATAAAGCTATAACAATTAAGACATGGTACTGGCATAAAAACAGACATATCAATCAATGGAACAGGACAGAAAGCCCAGATATAAATGAACACATTTACATTGAGTGCATTTTTGACAAAGGTGACCAGAACACAAAATAGGGAAAAGACAGTCTTTTTAGTAACTGATGCTGGGGAAATTGGACACCCACACGCAGAAGAACAAAATTAGAACCTTATCTCCCACCATACACAAAGATCAACTCCAAACGGACAAGACACTTAAATATAAGACCTGAAGTTATAAAACCAGAAGAAACGTAAGAGAAAAGCTCCACAACGCTGGCCCAGGTTAGTCCCTGAGAAGCGCAGGCAACGAGAGTAAAATCATACAAATGGGACCGCATCAAATTAAAAAGCTCTGTGCAGCAAGGGGAACCATTAACAAAATGAAGAAAAAAACACATGGATGCAGAGACAGTACCTGCAAGTCACATGGCTGATAAGGGGCTAGCACAGGTATCTAAAACAGACCCAAACAATTCAACAGCAACAAAACAGCCTAATTTTTAAAATGGGCAAAGAAGCTGAATGGGAACTTCTCCAAAGAAGACACACGACTGGTTAGTAGATACGTGAAAAATGTGCACTATCTCTAATCATCAAAAAGGGCAAATGAAGCCACAGTGAACCGTCAGAAAGGTGTCAGCAAGGATATGGAGAAAAGGCAATGTTGGTGCAGTTAGTGGGCATGAAATTAGTGCAGCCATCATGAAAAATAGTGCAGAGGTTCCTGGAAGAACTAGAATGGGGCAGGCATTTGGCCTCGTGATTGACATCAGCTAAGAAGCCCACATGCCGTATCAGAGAACCTGGGTCCAATACCCAGCTCTGGCTCCCAATCCCAGCAGACTGCCAATGCGGACTGTGGGAAGCAGGAGGTGATGGATCAAGTAGCTGGTTGTTTTTTTGTTTTGTTTTGTTTTGTTTTGTTTTAAGATTTATTTATTTGAAAGGCAGGGTTACAGAGAGGCAGAGAGCGAGAGAGAGTACGAGAGAGAGAGAGAAAGAGGGAGAGATCTTTCATCCACTGGTTCACTCCCCAAATGGTCACAACAGCTGGAGCTATGCTGATTCGACCCCAGGAGCTAAAGATAGAACTACCAGTAACCTCACTTCAGGGCAAACATCCAGAGGAATAAAAATCAGTATGTCAAACAGAACTTGATGTCTATACTCATTTCAGCATTATTCACAATAGTCCAGATATGGGGACAACTTAAGTACCCATCAAAGGATGAAAGGATTTTAAAAAACATATATTATACACGGAAACAATGGAAAACTATGCAGCCTTTAATGAGAAGTTCTGCCACTTGCGACAACATGGGTGAACCTGGAGGACGTGGTCCTACATGAAATAAGGCAAATAAGGCAAATACTACATGACCTCACTTACAGGAAGAATATAAAAAGCAGAATAAACATTTAGCTGAGGCTGGAGAGAGAGGGGGAAAGGGGAGAGGCTGGGCAAAGGGCAGAATTTGAGATGGAGGACTTAGTGAACTTTTGCACAGAGTGATGACTACAGTTAATTTTTAATAACTATACACTTCTGGGGCCACTGTTGTGATATTGCGGGTTACGCCGCTGCCTGGGACACTGGCACCCATATGGCTGCTGGTTCAAGTCCTGGCTGCCCCACTTCTGATCCAGCTCCCTGCTGATGCGCCTGGGAAAGCAGAGGAAGGTGGCCCAAGTGCTTGGGACCCCTCACCCACATGGGAGACAGCGAAGAAGCTCCTGGCTCCTGGCCCAGCTCTGGCTGTTGCGGCCATTTGGGGAGTGGACCAACAGATGGAAGACCTCTCTCTCTGTAACTCTGCCTCTCAAATAATTTTTTTTTTAAATTATACATTTCAACATTGCTAAAAGGGATTTTAAATGTTCTCATCACAGAAAATAGGCTGTAATTAGATGAATGGATCTATCCCAATGTACACGTACACCAAAACCTCACATTGTGCCCCTAAATATAGACAATTAGAAACGAAATTTGTTTTGAAACATTTAAGTGAAGACAGAAAAAAAACGACTCGGTAGCGTATTGCAAAGGGGCTACGAACACGTCCACGGGTGTCCCCGACTGAACGAACCCAAGCCGGAACACAGACGTCCTCGGGCGTCTACACTGGCAGAATCCGCTCTCGCCAAGGTCACCTCCGCGGCGCTCAACCCCACTTCCTTCCCCAGGAGGTCACGCCCGACCTCGGCCCCGGGCCATCGCGGCCCCGACAGCCGCGTCCAGCCGCCGCCCGGCGCCGCGGGCCCGAGGACTCGGCGCTGACCGCTCGCTTCCGCAGGCGCCGCCGCCGCCGGGCTGGGCCGCAACGCGCGCTCCTCCGCGGCCCGGCGCCCTTCCTCAAACGGAGGCGCCCCCTCCGTCCACCCGCTCCGGCCCCGCGTCTCCGCCCTGAGACCCCGGCCCCTGCCCGGGACCCTCCCCGCGGCCTTCGAGGCTCCCTCACGCAGTCACCTGGGTCCCCACCGCGCTGCGCACTCGGCCACTCTCGGGCCCGCCGCCCGCATCGCCCCCCGCGCGAGGCCCCCAGTCCCCTCGTCGCCAGCCCAGCCGCGTCCCGCGCCCCGAAGCCCCACACCACACGCCCCCGACGCCCCCCAGCCGCCGCGGCGGGCCGGGGCCACGCAGCCGCCTCAGGGCCACGCATGCGCGGCGCAGGCGCGCGCCACCGCCGCCGAGCCGCCCGCGGCGCGAGGACGCAAGGTCGCGTCCCGCGGGACAGCTGGCTCGGCCGGACCCCACCCCGGGCCGGGGCGGTCGCCCGTGGCCGCGGGGTCCCCGCGCAGCGCGGGCGGAGACGCACCTGCGGGAGGCGGGCAGGGCGGGCGAGGTGTGGCGCGGCGCTGGCAGCGGGAGGCCGCGGGGCGGAGCGGCGGGGCGCCCTGCCCCGGCTGCGGCGCCCCCTGCTGGCCGCCCCGACCCCGCCGGGCTCCCGGCGAGAAGGGGGCGGTCCCCAGGCCTGCCCGCGGCGGAGCGTGGCTTTGTCTTCCTTCCCTTGGGGATCTGCGGGGCGGGGCGCGCGTGAGCTCCGAGGTTCCCCGCACGCCCGCAGCAGGCGGCTCGCACCGCTGAAGGAGTGAGCCTCCCGCGTGCGGGGTGCGTGGGTGCCCAGGCTACCCACCGCGGCGGGTAGGATGCGCTCACATCTGCCGTCTGTCCTTTTCTCCCGCAGCACCACGTTTGCGGAGGTAGGGGGCAGTGGTCAGCGATCTTGGGGCAAAAAAATGGCACTTTAAACATGTTTTTTTTTCCGGGCTGGGGTTGTGGCGGGGTGAGCTAAGCTGCCGCCTGCCGGCGCTGGCATCCCAAACGGGAGCTGGTTGGAGTCCCGGCTGCTCTGCTTCTGATCCAGCTCCCTGCTAATGCACCTGGGAAAGCGGAAGATGGCCCAGTGCTTGGACTCCTGCATCCCCCTGGGGAGACCTGGAAGAAGCTCCTGGCTCCTGGCTCTGGACTGGCCCAGCTCTGGCCGTTGCAGCCATTTGGGGAGTGAACCAGCAGATAGAGGATCTCTCTCTCTCTCTCTCTCTCTCTCTCTCTCTCTAACTCTGCCTCTCAAGTGAATAAATAAATCTTTAAAAAAGAAAAGAGACAGAAATGTATATGACCTTCGCCAAAACAAAAAAAAAACTTTTAAAATAAATAAAATTTAAAAATCTCTGTCCCTGCAAGATGGTAAGTTCCCTGAAAGTGGCCTCCGTGTGTGTGTGTGTGTGTGTGTGTCTTCCTGTGATCGTCCAAGCACATCAGGGTCCCTAATGCTGTGTTCAATTAGTAAATACGCATTCCATGCCCAGACTCGAAGGACAGAGGCTTGGCTACCCGTAACAGAATTTAAAAGGCAAAGCCCCCTGTCTCCCCCCACCCCTCCCATTTTTTGGTTGTGAATCTGTCTACAACAGCACATGACCAAAACAACAACAGCAAATGAGCAAAGGGGCACCTGTGAGGATATTTGGAAAAGTTCATGGAAAATGGGATTAAAAATTAAATTTAGAGGCAGGCGTTTGGCGCGGTGATTAAAGATGCCCACGTCCCGTATGGAAGCTCCTGGGTTCAAGTCCAGGCTCTGCTCCCTGTTCCAGCTGCCTGTTAATGCAAAACCTTGGGGGGCTGGGGGGCAGCAGGTAGTGGCTCCGGTAGTTGGATCCCTGCCACTCACCTGGGAGTGAATTCCTGGCTTTGGCCTGGCCCAGCCCCAGCCACTCTGGGTGTTCAGGGAGTGAACCAGTAGGTGGGAGCCCTGTGTTTCTCTGCCTCTCAAATTTCAAAAGAAATATTTTTGATGCAAAAAAAAAAAAAAGTCATGCATCTTTCTTTGTTAATAACTTTGGAATCTGCACTAAAGGCAGGAGGGTGGTCTTGCCTGCGCACGTGCCGAGCTCCGCCTCTGGATAGGGGAGCGCTTCTGCTCTGAGCTGTGCATCCTCGTGGGGTCCTTCACTGCCTCTCAGAGGGACACTGAGCTCATCAAGCCGCTGGTCAGAGCACAGACGTGCAGGTAAACACACAGGGACAGCGGACGCCAGGAAGGATCCACACACACAGCCACCAGGAGTCTGGCTCGGACCTGCACGCGGCGAGCAGCCAGAGCAGTCCCCCGACCATTCTCCTCCTCACGGCAGCACTGCCCACACACGCTGGCGCACAGCACCCACCGTGAGCAGGGGGGGCAGGAAACAGAGGCGGTGCGTGTTCTGTGCTGTGGGGAGAGCAGAACGAGGCTGGGGGAAAGGCTTGACCTGAGCTGGAGGTGAGGGAGCCAGGGCCCACCCAAGGACCCGCTTCCTTCCTTTTCATCTGGTTTGTTAATGTTGGCTGTTTTGGTGGGTGAGTCCGCTGCTCCGCTTTTGAAGACACCAAATGGAAGAATGGCAGTGCGCCCCCACCGCCCCCTGGAGGGGAATTTCCACGCGGTTCTTTTAGTTTGCCCTCTTCGCCAGCAGATCTCCTTCTCCTCGTCTGCCGTGGTTTAAATGGGGCTCCTCCAAAGCTGGAGTTGAGACTTAGTTCCCACTGTGAGGGTAGGAAGAGGTAGGGCCTTTTGGGGAGGGATTAAGTCATAAGGGTTTCTGCTCCCAGGAGCGAGTGGTGTCCTTATAACAGCCTCCCGGGAGACTTTGCCTCTCCTCACCTCTGCCTTCCACCACGTGAGGCCCAAGCCACTAGGCGCCAGCCCTTAGCAGACGTCATGCCTGCGCCTTGAGCTCGGACTCCTGGGTGTTCACAACTGTAAGAAATACATTTCTCGGCTGGCGCCGTGGCTCACTTGGCTAATCCTCCGCCTGTGGCACCGGTACCCCGGGTTCTAGTCCCGGTTGGGGCGTCGGTTCTGTCCTGGTTGCTCCTCTTCCTGTCCAGCTCTCTTCTGTGGCCCGGGAAGGCAGTGGAGGATGGCCCAAGTGCTTGGGCCCTGCACCCGCATGGGAGACCAGAAGGAGGCAACTGGCTCCTGGCTTTGGATCGGCGCAGCGCGTCTGCCGTAACAGCCATTTGGGGGGTGAACCAACGGAAGGAAGACCTTTCTCTCTGTCTCTCTCACTGTCTAACTCTGCCTGTCAAAAAAAAATACATTTCTCTTTAAAAAAAAAAAAACTGTATATTTACTTGTTCAAGAGGCAGAGAGATGGAGAGAGAAGCACAGAGAGAAAGGGGGGTGGGTGGGAGTGAATTCCCATCTGTTGGTTCATACCCCAAGAGCCGGTCTTGGCTGGGGCTGGACTGGGACCAAAGCCAGGAGCAGGGAACTCAACCCAGGTCTCCCAAGCGCCCTCACCTGCTGCCTCCCAGGGTCTGCATTAGCAGGAAGCTGGAGTTAGGAGCAGGAGCCAGTTATCAAACCCAGACACTCCAATAGAAGAATGTGCGTGTCTTGGGGCCAGCGCTGTGGCCCGGTGGGTTAACACCCTGGCCTGACGTGCCAGCATCCCATATGGGCACCAGTTCGAGTCCCGGCTGCTCCACTTCCAATCCAGCTCCCTGCTAACGCAGCTGGGAAAGCAGTAGGAGATGGCTCAAGTCCTTAGGCCCCTGCACCCACGTGGGAGACTTGAAGAAGCTCCTGGCTCCTGGCTTGAGATCAGCAGAGCTCCAGCCATTGCAGCCAACTGGGGAGTGAACCATCAGATGGAAGACCTCTTTCTCTCTCTCTTTCTGCCTCTCCTCTCTCTGTGTAACTCTGACTTTCAAATAAATAAATCTTTTATAAAAAAAAAAAGTGTGTGTCTTAACCACTAGGCTAAGAAATACATTTCTATTCTTTTAAAGAATTCATTGATTTAAAAAAAAAGATTTACTTATTTTACTTGAAAGGCAGAGTTAGAGAGGGAGAGGCAGAGGCAGACAGAGAGAAGGTCTCCATCCGCTGGTTCCCTCCCCAAATGGCCACAATGGCTGGAGCTGGGCCAGTCTGAAGCCAGCAGCCAGGAACTTCTTCCGGGTCTCCCACCCAGGTACAGGGGCCCAAGGACTTGGGCCATCTTCCACTGCTTTCCCAGGCCATAGCAGAGAGCTGGATGGGAAGTGGAGCAGCCGGGACTCAAACTGGCATCCATATGGGGTGCCGGCACTGCAGGTGGTAGCTTAACCCACTGCGCCACAGCACCAGCCTGGACATTTCTGTTCTTTACCCAGTCTGTGGTATTTTGTTACACCAGTGCAAATAGGCTAAGGCAGGGCCCCCTTTTTTCTTCTCCAGGGAGGTGTCTGGCTAGTGTTTACCAGTGAACCAAAGTCTGCCTCTTTCCTTTTTCTGTGTCTGCACGTGGACGAGGGCTAATGATGGCATAACCTTGATAGCCAGCGTTCACCAAGCCCTAAGCACCAGGTGTTACTCCAAACACTTACTGTGCATTAACTTATTCTCAAACCCTCCTGATGAGCCTGTGAGGCAAGGCTGTGGCACGGACACTGGAGCACAGAAAGATGAAAAGTCTGCTCATGATCGCGCAGCAGGTAAGGGCAGGGTCAGGATTTGGACCGGGGCTTTCTGGCTCCTGAACCCAGGCTGCTGACCACTGGGAATGGCCTCGCATGTCCCTGTGGAGGTGGGATGCTTGTCACTTCTTTCATTCTCAGTCTTCTGAACCACAGCCAAGGCTTCGAGATAAACAGAAATCTTGCCTACGTGCGGAGTCCCAATCACGGATTCAGTCAACTGTTGATCAAAAATGTATTGTCAAGGCCGGCGCCGCGGCTCACTAGGCTAATCCTCCGCCTTGCGGTGCCGGCACACGGGGTTCTAGTCCCAGTCAGGGCGCCAGATTCTGTCCCGGTTGCCCCTCTTCCAGGCCAGCTCTCTGCTGTGGCCAGGGAGTGCAGTGGAGGATGGCCCAGGTGCTTGGGCCCTGCACCCCATGGGAGACCAGGAGAAGTACCTGGCTCCTGCCTTCAGATCAGCGCGGTGCGCCGGCCGCAGTGCGCCGACCGCGGCGGCCATTGGAGGGTGAACCAACGGCAAAGGAAGACCTTTCTCTCTGTCTCTCTCACTGTCCACTCTGTCCACTCTGCCTGTCAAAAAAAAATGTATTGTCAAATGCTAGAATGTTCCAGAAAGCAAAGCTTGAATTTGCTGCATGCCTAGTACTACATTGAATTGATGCAAATGAAGTGAGGCATAGGCATTGTGTTAACGGTATAAATA